ATGTTCCCTTGAGGTGGTGGACTCTGTGAGCTAAAGCAGGTATGTCTGAGGTAAAAGCCAGGGCCTGGCACCCAGTGAGGGCCTGAGTTGGGCTCTAGGTAGCACACTTCCAACTCAGGCATCTGTCTTCCAGATTCTGGTGAGGGGAAGCGGAAGTCAGGGATGGAAACACAAAGGAACATGGAGAGAACATGGTCTCTAAGTCAGCCAGACCTGGGTTCTAGTCCCAGCTCTGTCATGGCCTCTGCTGGGAAACTTCCAGCTTGTGGCTTCCATTTTCCTCATTTATGAAATGGGGAGAACATCATCTCCTTTCTAGGACTGTTGTGACTTAATGGTGATTAAATGCATAGGGAAGCTCCAAGGACAGGCATAGCTTCCTAGCAGGTGCTCAGTAAATCTCAATTAAATCTAAATCGTTTAAATCCATCAACACTAAAAGAAGAAAATAGAAAAGTTAAGCAGTTTGGCAATTTCAAGTACTGGTGAGAATGTGGACAAGGAGCACACTCATTAGTGCTGGTGAGAGTATGAAAGGTACAACCACCTCAGAGAACCTTCTAGCATTCAGTGAGGGCAAGATGTACATGCCTATGACCCAGGAACTCCTCTATTAAGTATACACCAAACTCATGCCCACATGCCTGGACATGTCAGAACAATGTTCGTAATTGTGCTAGACTGGAAACAGCCCAGGTAGCCATCAACATTAAAATAGATAAACTATTTATAGATTATAGCTAGATGGAGAGCTATTCACACAGTGGACACTATGGCAATGAAAATGAAGGTCAGCAGCACACAGCAACATAGATGAATCTCACAAATATAATATCAAGGGAGCGCAACAAGAGCCAAAAAACACAGAAAAGACCACATATGGGGGAGTTGGCTGGCTCAGTCCGTAGAGCAAATGACGACACTTGATCTCAGGCTTTTGAGTTTGAGTCCCACAGTGGGGCATGGAGCCTACTTAAAAAAAAAAAAAGAATCATAGACCGGTACCCCTGGGGCATATAAAACATTACATGTTAATAAAAATAATTAATAAAAAAAGGAAAGAAAAGAAAAGATCACATAGGAGGTATGATCCTATTCATATGAAGATCAAAAACAGGCAAAACTAAAGGATTATGTTTAGGGATGCAGACATAGGCAGAAAGCAATACAGAAAAGCAAAGAAATTACTGCAAAAATTTGAGGTGATTACCTCTAGGGAGAGAGAGGAAGGCTCTGATGGGGAAGGGTACCCCAGGGATTTGTAGGGCACTGGTAATGTTCTGTTTCTTGACCTGAGTGTTCATTATATGATGTTCTTTTAACAAGCGTTCATTAAACTGTACTGCCACATAAAATAAACTCTTCTGTTATTTTCTGCAGGCATGTTATAGATCTCAATAGAAAAGTGGAAAAAAAAAGAAAGCATAGTTGGGATTGGGAGGGAGACAAACCATAAGTGACTCTTAATCTCACAAAACAAACTAAGGGTTGCTGGGGGGAGGGGGGTTGGGAGGGGGGGGGTGGGGTTATGGACATTGGGTAGGGTATGTGCTATGGTGAGTGCTGTGAAGTGTGTAAACCTGGAGATTCACAGACTTGTACCCCTGGGGGAAAAAAAAATATATGTTTATAAAAAATAAAATTAAAAAAAAAAAAAGAAAGCATATGTTAAAAAAGGAGATAGGCAAATCATCCTTATAGATACAGGACAAGTAGAAAATAAAGATGTCTCTAAAATAGAAATATTTTATATATTTAACAAAGTACCTTTGTTTCATACTGGATAAATTGACAGATTTAAGGTTAATAAACTTTTTTTTTTTTTTTAATATCTGAGAGAATGAAACCATTAGGCGGGGCCACATGAAGGACTTCCAGAAGGGATTTTCCAAGCATTCTCATCTTCTGATTATTTCTTGAATCTAGAAGTTGAGCAACCATGACATAAGAATTCTGATTGGCCTGATTTCAGCATTAACAGACTACAACTATGAAAAAGGGAAGGAGGACTAACTTAAAACATACCCAGATAAACTAGTTCTTCTACTTTTGAGAAAGGAATGCAATTATAATTGTTCACTCGGGGATCAATTCATTTAAAAAGACAACTTCTTGATAATATTGTGTTTTTAGGGGGAGGGAGGAAAAAGGCCAAAATGACCGTCTTCAGAATGAGCCTCATGGAGTTCTTCCATCTGTGGTTTCCCAACACGGGCTCTGATTCTTGGTGCAGCAGGTGAGGAGATGATTTCACCACTTCACACAGAGTTGTCAGGTCTGGGGGGACAGCTGAGAAGGGTTTCTGAGGCCACTGATCTTCTCTTGACTGTTGGACTCCCCTTTCTCCTGCCTGTGCTCTGGAGAAAGGCTGGAGGTGCAGGGCAGAGTCTCTCCCTTTTCTAGGCTCCCTGTGGGTCACAGCCCTTCCAATTGGTTGTCATGACAACCGAGGCACTCTGGAACAACATAGTTTCATAGCACAACAAATGAAAAACGAAGGGAGGGGGTTGGATTGGCTCAACCCTCTTCTAATTGGTGAGCAAAATTCCTACAAACTCCAAAGGGAGTTTCACTCTCCATAGTGAATAGGAAAGTCTGACCCAGAGTGATGGAGTTTGGTTAGTTCCCTACACAGGACAGGTGCCCTAGGGATTGTGGTTTTTATGGAATTATTCACTTGGTTTATTGGTTTCCAAAACACAGATTTTATAAAAATCATTTTAAGAGTAAAAAAATAAGAATAAAAAAGCCCTCTTCCCATTATACATTTGAGAAACTGGAGTTGCAAAAGGGCTCTTCGTGCCGTGCAAACATGTGAAGTTCAGATGTTACGCTTTCATAAAGGGACTCGTGTTTGGAGGCCTAGACACTTTTTCCTCACATATGTCTCCTTAGCAGTTCTGTCACCCATTTTGTTGGCATCAGCTGTCTCTCCAGAATGGAGCACGAGTAGCCCCCGAAGAGGGCCCAGACATGGGATATTAGAGGAGGACTATCCTGAGGGGCAAAGGAGTGAAGGTGAGACCTTTCCAACATGTGGAGAAGAGTGGATGGAACCACCAACTGGAATTTCCTCTCTGGTGAGAAGCCAGGTGCTCAGGCCAGACACCCAGAATGTTCTCGGAGTGGGCAGAGAGACTCGGAGTGGACTCAGAAAGCCTGTCTCACTAACAGCACTAGGACACCTTGCTCAGACAGGCCACCAAGAAGGGGTCAACCAGGACCTGAACTGAGAGAAAAGTTCCTCCAACAAAGGATAAGCTTTCTTCTAAGGTATTTGAACCGTCACTAATGAATAACATTCAGACTCAAAGACACCATCCTTATGAAGTAACTGTGGGAGCTTACTTGGTACTTTTCTATGCTGGGGTTTACTGTAACAAACAGCAAATGTGCCGGCCTCATACCTTACTAGTTTGAGAATTGTGAGCTGTCTACATCAGGCTTGCAAAATCTGTCAAACTTTTATATGTTTCCTCTGTCACCTTCCTGTTCCACAAGTTTACTCCATTTCCAGGTGGGGATGTAGGTTGAGGCAATAATCAGATCTAATGTTTCTTGAACTCTAAAACATGCTCTGTGGGGGTTTTAGTATTAGGCTTCTTCTAGAAAACTTGACACACTAGTGGACATGCCAAATTGCGCCAGGTAGATGTAATATAGTCTGAAGGGTAATGGATGGTTCCGTACAGCCTTGATTCCTTTAAAGTACCACATCAATATTTTATTTTTTATCTCTTTTAAGGTTTTATTTATTTATTTCAGAGAGAGAGAGAGAGAGAGAGAGAGAGCACTAGCAGGGGAGTGGCGGGCAGAAAGAGAGGGAGAAGCAGATGCCCTGCTGAGCAGGGAGCCTGATGCGGGGCTCCATCCCAGGACCCTGGGATCATGACCTGAGTGGAAGGCAGGTGCTTAACTGACTGAGCCACCCAGCTGTCCCTGCATCAATATTTTAAAGTAATTTGTATTTAAGATTCCAATTACTAGATATTTAAAGTAGATTTTCTAACAAGAAGACACAGACCCAGGCTTACTTCTCTAGTTTTCCCAAGATGAGAAAAGGAGTGGATGGACCACTTACAAAGCCCAATGCCATCTCCAGCTGGATTAATGCAGGATTGCATTAATTCTGCCTTCATGCCTTCCTTTCCTGTAGAAGTGATTCGTTGGATCTTACAAAAGGATTTTTAAAACTGTGGTCACAAACTCCGTTCTTACTGTTCAAAAGAGGAGTTGAGTACTTCCTTCCTTCAACTGACAAACATAGCACATAAAGTATTCAGCCTGGCCCCTATGTCTTCCAAGATCTAAAATCTGTTTGGGAAGAAAAAATTACAAATAAATAAGAAGTACTTTCATTTCAAATCTATTTAGCTTTTTTTTTAAGGCTCTCATTCTCTTTTATTTCTTGAAATACATCAAACACACTTATTTTCTGTGTCTGCTTCCAATATCCCAAATCTTTGTGTATCTGATCCTAATGTTTCTATCTGCTTTTACTTATGGAGGCTTGCTTCCTTGTTTGTTTTGTTTTCTGATTGTAAGCTTCTGTTCTTGAAGCTTTATCTGTAGGCATTCTTTGGGGCCCAAGTTCAAGAAAATCTCCAGAGAGCATTTGTGTTTGTTTTGTCTGGTGTTTGGAGCACCCTAATCTTGGACTCATTAAGTTTTAAACATTCCATGGTATCTTGAATTTAGATCACAATCTTCCATGCAGACCACACTATAATTATGAACCCGGGAGGAAGAGTCATATCTCCTTTTTGTTTTTCCTCTATCCAACACTAGGATCGATACAGGCAAATATTTCGGGGGTCCTCTTCTGCATAGCAAGTCAATTTCACTTTCATCTTGACTGTGGTTCTTTGGTATCCCAGTTTTATGAAAGATGTTCTTTTTTTTTAAATATATGAATTTTATTGTAAATGAAATTATTTTCTCCCAACTTTATTGAGGTATAATTGACATGTGACAAGGTATAAGTTTAAGGTATACAATGAGTACTTGCTTTGGTAGCACCTACAGTAAAATTGGAATGATGCAGAGATTAGCATGGTCATGTACAAAGGTTACATGCAAGTTTGGGAAGCATTCCATTTTTTTTTTTTTAAAGCTGTATAGTGTGATTACTTGATATGTGCATACACTGTGCCATGATTATCAACATTAGGTTAGTTAACACATCACCTCACATAGTTACCCTTTTGTGTGCCTGTGGTGAGAACATTTAAGATTTACTCTCAGCAACTTCCCAGTATAAAATACAGTGCTGTTAACTATAGTCACCACACTGTATATCAGCTCCCCAGAACTTATCTTGTGACTGAAAGTTTGTATCCTTTGACCAACAGCTCTCCATTTCCTTTTTTAATTGTAAATTAAAATTTATAATTTTAAATTATTTTTTAATTTTTAAATTTTATTTATTTTTTTAAAAGATTTTATTTATTATTTGACAGAGAGAGATAGTGAGAGAGGGAACACAAGCAGGGGGAGTGGGAGAGGGAGAAGCAGGCTCCCTGTCCTGCTAGGAGCCAGAAGACATGGAGCTTGATCCCAGGATTCTGGGATCATGACCTGAGTGCAAGGCAGACGCTTAATGACTGAGCCACCCAGGCACCCCAACTCCATATCCTTCACAAAAAGTCCCTGGTAACCACCAATCTACTCTGTTTCTATGAATTTGGAGAATTTTTAAAATATTCTACATATATGTGAGATAATACAGTCTTTCTCTGTCTGATTTATGTCACTAAGCATACTGCCTGCGAGTTTCATCCATGTTGTCACAAATGGCAGGATTTCCTTCTTTTTATGGCTGAGTAATATTCCATTGCATATATAGGCCACATCTTATTCCTTTATCTTTCAGTGGACACTTAGGTTGTTTATATGCCTGGGAAACATGCCTTGGGTATTATGAATTATGCTGCAATGAATATTGGGGGTGCAGATATCTTTTTGAGACAGTGATTTCATTTCCTTTGGATCTCTAAAAGTGAGATTGCTGGATCATATGGTTGTTCTATTTTTAATGTTTTGAGGAGCCTCCTTGCTGTGTTCCATAGTGACTGTGCCAATTTAAATTGGGATAGGTTCTTACTTTGCTTATGATGTTGGGTAGGCTTGAGGGTTTATCTTCTGTGTCTCCATTGCTGCATACCTATCAATGTGGAAGTTCAAGGACACTGCAGTTTGATAAATTTTCCAGGAGTTTGCTCACTTATTAGGGGTCCTACCTTAACTTTGTTTTATCCTCACTTTCTTGCCAGCTCGAGTCATTAAAAAAAAAAAAATAGTAAAAAAATCATATCCAACTTTGGTTTTCATCAAAAGGTTTGTTCTGGGTATCTATTTCGCATATTAATTTGAAGTACTTTAAAAGTAAGTCTAGTGGGTACCTGGGTGGCTCTGTCAGTTAGGCATCTGACTCTTGATTTAGCTCAGGTCATGATCTCAGGGTCCAGCCCTATGTCAGGCTCCTTGCTCAGTTGGGAGTCCGACTGAGCGAGGAGCCTGCTGGAGATTCTCTTCCTCTCCCTCTGCTCTTCCCTTTGCTCCAGGGCTTGCTCTTTCTTTCTCTCTAAAATAAATAAATCTTTTTTTTTTTTTTTAAAGATTTTATTTATTTACTTGCCAGAGAGAGAGACAGCAAGAGAAGGCACACAAACAGGGTGGGGGAGTGGGACAGGGAGAAGCAGGCTTCCCGCTGAGCAGGGAGCCCGAGGCGGGGCTCCATCCCAAGACCCTGGGATCATGACCTGAACTGAAGGCAGACGCTTAATGACTGAGCTACCCAGGTACCCCTAAAATAAATAAATCTTAAAGAAAGAGAAAAGGTTAGATGATGTATAATCAATTGCTTAGCAGGATTGAAGCATTTTCTCAAATGCTTCTGTTCCCTTCACTTTCTATTCAGAACAAATCTTTGTCTTCAGAACACCAGACAGTGGCTGAGTGGATGTGCTATGGTGTGCTAGCAAACTGACCCCCAGGAAAAAGAAAACAAACCAAATCCACAAAAGACTTGATTGTTAGCTTTTGCCAATTTCTGTGGGGGTAACAACTCCCACAGCAGTCGGTTTCAAGTAACCAATTTGATTCACTGATGGAAGAGGTGGGAAGGGACGAGCACAGCCGTTTCTCACGAGCTGCAATGAGCCAATCCCTCCATGGCCTGTAGAAGTAGAAGATACAAGTTAGGGAGGCTAAGTCCCAAGTCTAGTGGTCCATCAGGAGACATGCATGCATTGGGCCTGATGATGAACAGGTGAACTGGAAAGCCCACGGCAGCTAATTATCGGCACATGTTACCAGATCTTATTTTTCAAGAAGACTGAGAAATCTGACTTTCAGGTGAAATGGCCTCCTTTTCAAATGTTGCTAATTGGTTCAAAAACTTAAAAACACATAAGAGATCCAAGAAGACAACCTGATGGATGTAGATTTGTCTAAATACCAGCTTTGGGTTGGTTGAGTTAGTCCTTGGGGTTATGTTTCTTTGTCTGGTTCCAGCTTTGTTTCTCTAGGCTAAAGGGCCCACATAGGGAAATCCTGCTGGAAAAGCACTGCAGGGCTGGGGAAGGAACGCATGCGAGGATTCCCATAGCCTTTGGTTCCAATTCTGGGCCTGCCACTCACTGTGTGACCCAAGGCAAAATTACGTGAAACGAGAGGGATGGTTCCTGATGGGGCAAGTTGTTCTAGAGACAAACTGAGATGTTATGGGTATGGGACCTGCCCCCTTTGTACATACTTAATGACAGTGTCATCATTCTTGAGCAGAAGCCAATAGTCATAGAGGAGGGCAAAGACTGGAGTATAAAGAAGAGACCTCTCATTCAGTGTTCTCAATTTTCACTGCCTTAGATTCACTTGGCAAACATTAAAAAAATAATAATAATACCTGTAAAGATTCTGATTCAGTTGGTCCAAGATGGAGCCCGAGCATCACTTATTAAAACTCAACCCTTCCCAGTGTTCTAAGCCTAAATGCTTTAGCTTCATCTCATTTAACCTCATCTTTCCAACAACCCCCAAAAGTGTTATTCTCATTTCACGAATGAGGAACTGAGGCCAAGGGTTAAATAACAGCTCAAGGTGACATAGCTGGTAAGTGAGGGAATCAGACTTGACCTCAGAGCCTGAATTCTTAAACCCCATGCCATTTAGCATTACTGTGTCTGCCTCCAATGAGAGGGCAGATATAGGGCTTAAGTCCTGCAAATAAAGTGTTTAGTTCAGGGCCTGGAAGTGACAAACAAAGGTTAGCTATCATCATTACTTTATAATACCCAAACAGAGAATCCTTTCCATTTTCTCTTCCCTATGCAAATCCCTTTCAGGTAAATCTTCAATCTTTTTTGGGTCCCCCACTTCTTTCCTGCTGTAAACACACATATTGTCCTCCAAATGAATCCTAGGACAGTCGCTGTAATGCCTGGGAAGCTCTGCTGGGGTAGATCATACCTGAAGAAGGCAAAGAGGAGAGAGGACAGGGGCTCCAGAGATTCTTGGGAGAGGGGTGATGAAACCTGCCTCAAAGAATGCCCTGGTAAATAACAAAAATTCAGTGGAATAAATTTGAAGATCCAATTGGCTTCGTTAAACCATTCATGAATTAAGCAGCATCCTATCTGGCAATAGGAAGGAGCTCCACCAAGCTGTAAAGAAGGTTTTTAAGGGTGGAAGGGGAGTGGACAATGGAAATCACTAGAAAAGAATGCATTTGTTTCAGGCAAGGTTGCCTTCCTAAGGGGACTAGACAAGAGTCCATCAGGTTGGTTATCTCTGACCAACCAGTACTGACCAGGTGATTCCATGCTGACTGGCTAAGGGTTATATTCCTGGGGGTGGGATGGGGTGCGTGTTGAACCTGCAGTTAGGTTAGGTATGAAGTCTTGTTTTTTTGATGTGGGACTTAGCATAAGTAACTCCATTTTGGGCCTGCTATCTCCTTAACACCCTTAAAGACAAGCCAAGTTCAAGCTCTTTAGTATATAGTATTCAGTATGTTCTTCCCGTGAGTAGTTTGCAGAATAATGGGGAGGCAGAGGAAGGGACTAATGGGGTGTCAGACAAAGGGTGGGGAGCAGCTATAGACCTGAATATTGGGGATCCTTTCTTGCCAGCTGGTTCACAAATTTTTTGGAGGCTTATATTGTATTTGTTTTCACTATTCACTGTTGAGATGGATGTAGAAGTCAGTCGTGGAGGGAAATGAGCACTTTGTTGGCAGGCAGCATGCTCAGTCCCTGGTATTTATTTAGGCTCTGGGGTCAGGGAGTATATAGCTGACCTAGGTGAGGGGAGGATAGGGCAAGGATGCAGGTGCTTAGTGGTGGCCCCTTAGAGGCGGAGGTCCAGTTGTCTCACAATTAAATGTTGGAAATGGTGAATTTACTTAGCTTACTCAGGTTAAAAAAAAAAAAAAAAAAAAAATTTTTTTAAAGGCTTATTTGAGAGAGAGAGAGCACAAGCGAGCATGAGGGGCAGAGGGAGAAGCAGACTCCCCGTTGAGCAGGGAGCCCAACTTGGGGCTCCATTTCAGGATGCTGGGATCATGACCTGAGCTGAAGGCAGACTGATCAACTGAGCCACCCAGGCGCCCCCACGTAAATGAAATCTTAAAAAACAAAATAAAATGAAGTGGACAATCACCACCTTAAGTCATTTGTAAAAATTAACAAGAAGTGAATTAAGAAATGAGGAAAGTTTTGATTAAAAATTCTCCCACAAAGATAATGCTGGCATTCCTTCTCGATCAACAACTGTTAACTTACTCAGCTTTCCTATACAGATCTTCCTTGACTTATTATTTTTTAAAAGGTTTTATTTATTTATTTGACAACAAGAGAGAGACAGCGAGAGCAGGAACGCAAGCAGGGGGAGTGGGAGGAGCCCGATGGAGGGCTCCATCCCAGGACCTTGGGATCATGACCTGAGCTGAAAGCAATGCTTAATGACTGAGCCACCCAGGCATCCCTCTTCCTTGACTTATGATGATAGGTTTATGTCCTAAAAAGAAAAACAGTGTACGTCGAAAATATTGTTGAGAAAGTATTGAACACACCTAACCTACCAAACATCATCGATTAGCCTACCTTAAACACACAACACTTACATTAGCCTATTGTTGGGCCTAATCACCTAACACAAACCCTATTTTATAATCAAGTGTTGATTATCTTGTAATTTATTGAACACTGTACTGAAAGCGAACACAGAATGATTGTATGGGTACAGAATGGTTATAAGTCCATTGGTTGTTAACACCTGGGATCAGGTGGCTGACTAGGAGCTGTGGTGGGGGGGCAGGGTAGGGAAGCATGGATTCACATTCAAAATTTGAAGTAGGGTATCTACTGAATGTGAATCAGTTCTGCACCACTGTAATGTCGAAAAATCCTAAAATCCTAAATTGAACAATCTTAAGTTGGGCATTATATGTACTAAAAAGTTTAGGAAAAAAAATGGTGGATGGAAGAAATGAAGGACCATGGAGGCCTTGGAGGGGAAAGCAAAGGTCAAAGCAACTTCAGGCTAAAATAAATCAATTACTGAGGTTCAACCTCAGTTTTCAAAGGTTTGCCCACAGGGCCAAATTACAAGGATATAAACTTTCTGGGTATGATGCACATTTACCAAGCTGAATGCTTATAGTCATTGCCATTTGAAGTTTTTGTTGTTGTTGTTGTTCTTCCATTTGAAGTTAAGATCCTCCAAACCATTTGAAATTTACCCAACACTATGCAGGATCTCTTGTGTTTTTGTCTTGTACTGCTTTTCAACTCCTGAAATACTGAACTTTTTGATGTCTATCCAGCCACGACTGTAAGCTCTTTGAGGGACATAGCTATATCATGTCCCCAACCCCCATTCCTCACCAAAGGGTCACAAAGAGCTCAATTAACCTACTGAATCTTTAACACTTCCATTTTTTTGAATGCCCTTGGGATATGCATTCTATAAATGGACACTCAACAGGTTTATAGTAAAAATCTAATGGCTGAGAGCCCAGCCAGTGTAAACACATTCTTTCTAAATCTGCATGTATTTTACCGACAAAAGATTGCTTACATTCAGAGAGGAAAAAGCGTGCATTTCTTTTACAGTGGGTTATAAACACTAAGAAGAACAGAAAGTTCTCTGGATTTTATGCCGTATCAAGGTGCAAAACACTGGGTGATGCGGCCTTAGGGCTCTTCCCGCAAACCTGAACACGACTCCCAATAATATGCCCAAAGTCACCCCCAGACCCCCTCCTGCCCCGTGCACTTCGAACCCGGATCTCCCCACCACCCCCTATGGACACCTGCAGTTCAGGGTTGTCGTCCTGTATCAACGTCCACATTGCCATGCTATAAACCAAATGCAAACTCAGGGCTCCTCCGAAGAGCAGACCCACAATGAGAGGAGAGGAGCAGCAAGCACAGGAGCAACCCCAGCAAGCGGTCAGAGCCCCCTTTCCCAGAGTTCCCTTCCAAAGACAAGCCGAGGTAGCAAAAGCGTTGTACTTGGCAGAACTGTATGCCCAAGTGACGGGCGCATAAAGGGCTAGGGACGTTCTGAGCCAGGTAGCGAGTCACAAACTACGCAAGGTGATAACAGTCTACCTCGCGGCCCGGGTATAGTGTGCCAGGGAGTATGTGAGCGTGTGAAATTGGCTCTGGAAACTGTGACCGCGGAGCCCGGCCTGGCGTGGCCTCCAGGGCGAAGAGAAAGTAGGTGGCTTTGTTCCCGGAATGTGAATGAGGGAGCCGAAACCTGCCTTTAAAAAGGCAGCTTTCCGCGGCGGAAACGCGACATCTCCGTAGAGGCTTTGGCAGCGCGCGAAACTCGCCATTAGGTTCCCAGGGCCGAGCCAGCCGCGGCACCGGAAGCCCGAAGTGGGGACAGCCTGGCTGGCCCGTGAGCAGAACCGGGAGAGGCCTCTGCGCCGGCCTGCCGCGTCCCCCAGCCAGCGCGGGCGGCCCCACGCGTCCGCCACTCAGCCGCGCGGCCAGCACAACATTCCATTTAAAAATAACACCCACGTGCGCTGGTAAACAAGCGCGCGCGGCTACCGCGCCGCGCGCCCCGGGCGAGCCAGTACGGCGCGCGCCCGCCCTCCTCCCGCACGTGTCTGCCGGCTCCGCCCGCGCCGCTCCAGCGCCGCTCACTCTCCTCCCCCTTGGACTGCCGCGCACCGCCCCGAAGCCCGGAGTCCTGCCGCTCCCGGGCCCTAGCGTCCCTCCGCTCTGCTAGGCGCGCCCTGCAGGGTGCTCTCCAACTTTCCTCCCCCGACACCGCCACAGCGCGGCAGGACCCATCGCCCCAGGTCGGCTGCCCTTCTCCCCTCCCCTGTCTTCTCAAGTCCTCCTCCTGTGGACTCTCCCTCAGCGGGCGGAGGATTGGCTTCTGGGTCGCTTGAGTCTTTTTCTCCTCTCCTCCCTCCCCTCCTTTCTTCCCTAGAATTTTACTCGATTGTTTATTATTTGCTGGGGGGCGGGGGCGGGGGGCGGAGAGGGGTGTCTGGGGCCTGGAGACTGGTGGCCGCGGCCAGTCAGCGCGCGGCGTGGTTTGACGAGTAGGCGGCGCAGCGAATGGGGACGCGGCGCAGAGCACCCCGGTCACGCGCGTGTGGATACAATGACATCATCTGTTTGTACGCGTCGAACTAGCTTGGTGCAGGGGCGGGGCTTCACGTCACTTGAGTGACGGGCCCTGCGCAAAGCCCGGAGCCTGGAGTCCTGTGGGTGGGCGGACTCCCGAGTACCCTGGGTTGGACCTTATTGTGTATTGGGTTGTTGAGGAGCGAGCTTTAGATTCTGAGAGATCACCAGTGACTTAGAAGGAGTTAAGAAAAAAGGGGGGAAAAGATATTTATGAACCAAAGTGGATCGAGTTTTGGTGTGCGTGTCGCAGGTAGTGCATTCTTAGCGCACAAACGATTTAGACACTGACAGGATAAGGACTCGTAAGAGGTTTGTCTAAACCTAAAGAAGTATCTTTTTTAAAAACTCAAAAATGCACAAGTAGCCGTTCTGGAGTCATTTACAAGTTAGAATCAAATTATTTTCCATTCGTAATTGTTCAAAATCTGCTCTTGCGTTTAGGAATGGGGAATAATTTGCGTTTCTCCTGAGTTAGTTACGCTTCTCCCCTCCTCTGCCGAGAAATCCCTGGAGAGTGAACCACTGCATCGGGCGTCCTCGGTTGAGAGACTCGGCTGCAGACCTCTCGGTGCCCGATCAAATCTGAAGGCATCAGTTTATCGAAGTCCTGTAAGGCACCAACATTTTCGCTTGCATTTCCACGCTGTGGTAATCCCTACGATCTGCGGTCAGCATCTTATCTCGCGTGTTACCTGGTGTCCGATTCTAACCGGGAACCGGACACCGGGGCGGGCCCAGAGCCCGGGGGACGGACGCACCCGCCGGGGACCCCCGGTACCAGGCGCCCTGGCCGGAGTCTGAGAGACCACGCGACTGCGCTCGTGGAGCGTTTGGGTCTCTGCTCTCCCCCCTCCCTTTTCTTAGGCCAGCGCCGCGCTTTGTTGTCGTCGAGGCCCTCGGGAGGGAGGGGGAGCCCGGCGGGGACGGCTGCGGGAGCCCGCCCGGTCCCGGCCCGCCGCGCGCTCCCTGACACCCACGCCCGCAGTCCCGCGGAGCCCGGCGGCGCGCGCGCGCGGGCGCGCGCGAGCCCACATACACACACATACACACACACGCACGCACACAGCACACCCGGGCCTGCCGCCCAGCCCTCCCCCTGGGCGGGGACCCGCCCGCCCGCCGTCAGTCTAGGTTGAGGCACCCTGCGTGTGTCTATAACTTTGTGCTGCTGCCGCGGCCGCCCTGCTCGTGGAAAGGAGGAGGAGGAATGTGGAAGGCGGCGGCGCGCAGGCTGACAGGCGTTTCCTCAGGCGGGCTGCGGTGGCGGCCGAAGCGCCTCTCCTTCGCCGAGGTTGCGCGCCCCCTCCTCGCCGTGCCCCGGGTCCGCGCAGAATTGTGCGTCCTCCCCCCTCGTCCCTGAAGGGAAGGAACTGAGGTAGGCGCCGGAGCTGTGCAGCGGGGCGGTCGCCTTCCCGGTGACTCCGGATCTGCTTCCGAGCTGGGCCAGGCGCTTCCCTTTTCCCTCCCCGTGACTCGGTGTGCGCGCCCCCCTTCCCTCCCGTTAGTATTTTTAAAGGACTTGAGTGAAGGGGGGAAAACTGTCAAGATGGCAGCAGCGGGAGCAAGGAGGTGATGAACGTGCTGGTCCGGGTTTTCTGGTAGCCCGGGAGACTTGGCGCTTCCTGACCTGTTGGAAGATTTATGTTCCGACTTGCCCCCTCCCCCCGTCCTTTCCTGGGAAGGGGGTGGAGGGTACAGCGCCTGCGGGCAAATAAACCACACAGACCCCCAAAGTGGTCGTTCCTGCTTGGCTCGGCCCTTTGCAAACACCCGCCGCGCTGGTTGCACCCCTGCTTCCCGTCTTGTCTTTTTTCTGGAAGTGACAGGAGCCAGTCCGCGCTCGGACCTACGTTCGTCCTCCTGGCCCGCGAGCGAAGAGGGGAGAAGGGGGCTGCCCGCGCTGTCCCCGGACTCGGGCCCCTCGGCGGGCAGAAGGGGGTACAAGGGGGCGCGGAGGCGGCAGGGCCGGGGACCAGGAGAAGAGCGGAAGACGCCACAGACTTTGGCTGCGGCGCCGCGGGAGGCACTTGAGCTGGCCCGAGCGAAACATAAACAAACGCACGCCCGCCTCGGCTCCGACCGCGGCTCGGCTGCGCCAGCGCTGGCCGCTGCGCGCTTTAAAGGCGCGGCTCGCGCCCCTCCCCCCGCCCCCGCCCCTCCCCCTTCTTCCCCGCCCAGCCACCTAGCCCAGGAGGGACCTGCAGTTCGGGCGGCCCCGGCGGCTGGGGGAGGGGGCTGCCCCGTGCGAGCCCGTCGATTCGCTCCCGGCTCCCCCGCGGCCTGGCCAGGGGGCGGTGTCTGCGGCGCCAGGTTCGCGGGACGCACGTCTCCAGGTCTGCCTGTTTCTGGGAGGCGGGCGCCGTGCGGCCGAGAAGCGGCGGCGGCGGGCGCGGAGTCGCGGAGGACTGGGCTCCAACCCGGGATAACCAACTCTTCTCTCTTCTCTCGTGCTTCCCCAGGCGGCGGCAGTAGCGGCAGCGACTTCTGGGAGCCCGAGCCTTCGCGGCGCCCCCGTCCCTCCCCCGCCGCACCCCGCCCCGGCGCGAGAGGAGAGCGCGAGAGCCCGAGCCGCGGGCGGGCGGGCGGCGAAGATGGCAGAGGCACCGGCCTCCCCGGCCCCGCTCTCTCCGCTCGAAGTGGAGCTGGACCCGGAGTTCGAGCCCCAGAGCCGGCCGCGCTCCTGTACGTGGCCCCTGCAGAGGCCAGAGCTCCAGGGGAGCCCAGCCAAACCCTCGGGGGAGACGGCCGCCGATTCCATGATCCCCGAAGAGGAGGACGATGAAGACGACGAGGACGGCAGCGGTAGGGCCGGTTCGGCCATGGCGATCGGCGGCGGCGGGAGCGGCGCGCTAGGCTCCGGGCTGCTCCTTGAAGACTCGGCCCGGTTGCTGGCTCCCGGAGGGCAGGACCCCGGCTCCGGGCCAGCCCCGGCGGCAGGCGCGCTGAGCGGGGGGACGCAGACGCCGCTGCAGCCTCAGCAGCCACTGCCGCCGCCGCAGCCGGGGGCGGCTGGGGGCTCGGGGCAGCCGAGGAAATGCTCGTCGCGGCGGAACGCCTGGGGGAACCTGTCCTACGCGGACCTGATCACTCGCGCCATCGAGAGCTCGCCGGACAAGCGGCTCACTCTGTCCCAGATCTACGAGTGGATGGTGCGCTGCGTGCCCTACTTCAAGGATAAGGGTGACAGCAACAGCTCTGCGGGGTGGAAGGTGCGTACCCACCTTGGGCAGGCGGCCGGACCCGCCGGGCCTCCTGCGCAGTGCGAGACGCGCCTTCGATTCGTCGGAGCGCTCCTGCAGGCGCTGGGAAGAGGGGTTAGCACCGAGAACCTACGCTGTGAGGTTTCGGGGGATCTCTGTGACCCCCAGAGGAGGGGAACCTGGGGTCGGCCACGGAGGGTAGGGCGGGGAAAGGAGGCTTCTGAGGAAGCCTCGGGCATGGGCAGGTGAGGAGAGGGGGCGAGGGATACCGGCGAGGGAAGGACTGGCGGACGGGAGTGCATTTGCTGGATTCCCGGGACGACACAGACGAGGTAGGTCTTCCGCCAACTTCGAAGTAGAAATCAGCCGTAGTGGGGATGCGGGAAGGGCTTTGCGGGTGCAGTGAGAGGATGTGGGGGAGTGCTTGGGACTTGGTACCCGGAGGAGGGGTTGGATTTCTGGTTTCCAGTCGGTTACAGAGCATGGTCGTTGTCACTAGCTGGATGAAAACCCTCGCGTCGAAGTTTCTGGCTTGTGGGTGTTAGTTCCCACAGGCACACCGATCCCATTAGAAAAAGCAGTGCTAGTAAACCTTTTCCTAGCTGGATGTCTTTCCTTGCCTGTGTTGACACCTTTATTCCTTAGAGCTGTTTCTCCAGTAAGCCTGCCCCCGAACTTGAGATGTTCAGAGCCCTGGAGCGGGCCGGCCCTGCGGCCTCCTGGCGGACCAGCCACACCTGCTGCTCTCTTTGAGGCTTGGACTCTGGCGCGGTTGGAGGCCGGGTCCCGGTCTGGAGGACTGAGGCCTGGAGCTTCACCTCGGCCCTTGGCAGAGAGGTGTGGTGTCAGGGCTGGGCCGTAATGGCTTCTACCTACCAGTGAACCAGAAGAGAGGCTCCCTACTGTTCCTTTTCAGCCTCTTGGGGCACTGGACACGTGGTAGGGAGAGAGGTGTGGAAAGGCCTATGATGTAATGACTTCCTGCAGTTGGGCATCCAAACAGATTAACTCCTGTGCCCCTGCTGGGCTGCTGATACCCAGCTGCTTTGCTCTTCCTGTCTTGCATCTCATCCTCCTAGCCTCTTTCCCCAAGACATGAACGTGTCTGTACCAGGCAGAGGAGTCCCGTACAGTTGGAGACACATATGGCTTATCAGTTGCTTCTATTTGCAAGTTATCTTTTTTTTTTTTTTAATTAATGAGGTAGTTTCTTCCTCCCTCAGTCCTTTCTTTCAGGGTTTTTGGGGGAGCCCTGCATCTTCCTGGGTTCCAGTAGGTGTATACAGAAAGAACAGTTTAATCTTGGTGGAGAACTGCAACACAGGAACCTATATGTGAAGAAAACTAGAGAATTTAGTGTGTTGAGTTTTAATTTGCTTTATTTAATTTAGTTTTTTTTTTATTATGTTAGTCACCATACAGTACATCATTAGTTTTTGATGTGGTGTTCCACGATTCATTGTTTGTGTGTAACACCCAGTGTTTCAATGCAATAGGTGCCCTCCTTAACACCTATCACCAGGCTCATCCATTCCACCTCCCCCCCAAATCCTCAGAGTTTTAATTTGCTTAAAAAAAAAAAAAAAGAAGAAAAACCTTGCAAACAAATATCTGCTTTGTTGTTGGTTTTTTGTTTTTTTTTTTCCTTCAAATTTCTAATGGCTCCTATTGGAGAGGACTTGTTGAGATACATTAAAAGCAAAACGGGTGCTTTGAAGTTATTCCACATATCTGTCTTCTTAAATGACTGCTGACATTATGAATCTTATATTTGATTTAATTTTATAGCTTTGCAAAGGAATGCCAGTTGTGTGATATGAGGGCCATTTACAGAAAGCTTGAGCATGAATTCCTTTTCAAAGCAGTGCTACTGTGATATCTTTTAAAACTGAGTTTCCAAGTGAATAGCAAATTGTTAATACCAGGGTACAGTGTCAGGAAGGGGTGAGTTTCAGGGTCTAAGAAAATGGATATAGGCGTTTGGAATATTTTTCATATTTCTCAACTTGAAATTAGTCCTGTGTATTTTGAGTTTGGTGCAGAGAATCTGCTAGTTAAAAGTTAGTTAGCTAACCTAGTTAAAAGTTAGTTAGCTAACTAACTTTTAATGTTGGAAGGGTTTTCACTTTTCCTTTGATTTTTAAGTTTACACAAGTAGTTTAATCCCACAAATAACATCTCTTGTTATTGTAGTTAAAGAGAATAACCGCTTAATAGCATTTGATTTTTTTTTTTTAATCTAGGTGGGAAAGTAGTATTACCAAAAGTAGCCATGAATTGTGATTTGGTTAATTGTATTTTCATGTAGCTAGTGGGACTTACAATAGAGATTTTGGGCCTAGTCCTAAATTTTGTGGTTTTATGTCCTTAACCTTTTTTTTTTTTTTTTTTGGGTCTCATGGTTTCTTTTTCCTTCTCTGCTATCTTATTTTTCTCTCTCTCTCTTTTTTTTTTTTTTTCGTTGAAGTATAGTCAACACAGAGTGTTAAATTAGTTTCCATTTCATCTCTCTTTAAAACTTATGAAATATTGTAAGTTGAAACTCAACCTTAGTATGCTTAATACAGGACATAAAGTAAAATATTTTTTTATTTTATGTAAGTAGAATTATTTTTACTTTAAGATTTTACATCAGTTCTATTTCTCAGTATCACATGGCACCTAATCCTTGAAGACTGTGGGGATATAATTTAGTTAAAGAGTTTTTGTAAGATGACCTTCATCAAAAGATGCACCCATGCAGGAACATCCAAATCTTTGATGATGAAGAAAGCCCTTTGAAACTGGGGCTGGTTTCATATTCCGATTATGACTAATAGCCAGCCTTTTTTGTGCTTGTGGTTTAGTGGGGGTGGAAGAAGAGGGAAAAGGGAGAGGTCAGGAGCTAATTGTGACCCATTTCCATGCGTCCAAGTTTCAGGAGTCAATTCCTATCATGATTAGTCATTTTGAGAGCATGCTTGTGCATTTAAACCACACTACTTTCATTCTGAGTTATGCATTAGGGTTTTTAACTTCTAAAAATGTCTAGAATTCAGGTTTACCTCTCCTAGTCCTGTGTGCACAATGGTACAGTATGCAGGGTTTGGGCCTTACTTCTTTTGTGGCTTTTTGGACTATTACATTATGAGATCCTGTCACCAGAATTATCACCCTAAGATTAGAGGATAAAAGAAAAGAGGCCTTGGAGATCAGAATAAGGACTAGTGGTTTGAAGCTCTGGTTGAGTATTTGGATCACCTGGGAGCTTTTTAAAAACTATCCATATGTAGAAAATTGGTTTTAATTGGGTGGGTCTGGGGCTTAGCATTGGTGTTTCTTTTTTATTTTTGTTTTTTAAGTTTCTCAGGTGATTCCAACATTCAGCTAGGATGAAGTTTGCTGAGATGGTTCAACTCCCTTATTTTATAGGTGAAGAATCTGGTTCTTCAAGTTAAGGACTTTTCTAAGATCACACAGCTAGTTAGGTATTTATTAGGTATTTAGCTGTAGTTCTGGAGATTTTTATTCTTTATCACCCTGTTTTCCTCTTTAAATTGACCAGTTTTTTAAAGGTTGTTTTTTTTTTTTTTTTTTTTTAACTAGGTAACAGATAGTCTTACATAAGTGGAAGATGCTTTCCTGAAAAGCGTATTTGCCTCTCAGTCTAAAAACGTTTTGGTTATTAGTTTAGCATCAGAAAGAGGAATATGGATGGAGCCTGATCGAGTTTATCACATTTGTATAGCCATGCCGTCTGTCAGTACCCGTACTTAGGAACTACGAAGTGATAAAGGGGGCAGAAAAGATGGCGTTTTAACAAGAGGAGGAAGTTCTTGGTTCGGGTTCTAGGTTTGTCAGGTACATACTGTGCCAGAGAGAGAGGTGATGGCTATCTCACAGATTCCCTTACCTCAGGCATTAAAGTAGAAATGAATAGTCAGATGTGGTTAAGAGGGGAAAAGGTTACATTTCCTTTAATTCAGATTAAGTTTATGTGCGCTGAACCACCCCTAATTAAACTGCTCTGTTCTCTCGGTTCCTCCCATTGTGGGGCAGACCTCTAGGATTCCAAGGTTTACCTGTTAAGGCTTATTTATCTCTCCATCTCCTCACACCCACACACCTGCATTTCCCGGGGGATTGGGACACGATTACATGAGGCAGCCGTGAGTTTCTGTGCTGTTTCTCACAATTTCACAAGTGTAGGTTCTTGTGTGTGTGACGACTTCTGCCGCTGCTCCTGTGGATGGTAATTCGGCAAGAGAAGATGTATTCTTTCCTGTGAGAATGTATGCTCTTACAGCTTCTCCCCAGGGTAAAGAGATGAGGGCCCCCTGCCACATAATGCCTGCTGATGTTCACTGGTCTTTAGATTAATGCATCCAGTTCCTTCCCAACAATACTGGATTAAGAAAATGTGATTTTTAACTCCAACTTTGATTTTAAAAAATATGTCTTTAAAATTTCAAAATGACAAAATTGTGGTAATTCCATGTTGGCTTGTAATTTTGGCCTCGGTCACCTCTTAGAGTTAACTCACCAAAGGGCCCATTATGGTCGTGTGTAAGGAATCTGTCTTCTGCTTGGCCTATGTTGCCAAAATGCTGTTTTGTAATTTCCTTTGGCAGTACTGTCTTCGTCAGTGATTCTCAACGAATAGACTTCCTCTTCGTACAGCAGCAGTACACTAGGGGGACTGTTTTTCCTCTTTTTCAAAGCTGTGTCATCGACCTATGAAGTGAAGAAATTGGCCCTTTTTAACTTTGATCTGTGAGCCCTATGTAGCAGAGAGACTCTTTAAGAAAGAAGCTAAGTGTTTGTTTTGATATGTTTATCTCCTTCTTAGAGAATGAAATGAAACTATGCAGACTTATTTTTAGGAGATTTTAGGAGGGTTCTATTTTAAGAGAATGACACCATAGAAGAACATCTTGTAGTTAAACTTTTTTATATGCATGATTCTTACTTAAAACCTGCAAGATATTTTTATTTGGAAAATTAATGAAGAGTCCTTGTCCTACCAAAAA